GGGTTGATGATAAAAATTGTCTAAGATATTTTTTTTTATAGATTTTTCAAAGCAGATACTACTCACCATTGGATTATTAACTTTTGTTGGTTCACACGTTGGTTTTCACGTGACACGGTGGCGCATTCGATACACATGTTGCGTGATTTACGTGCGCGCAGAACAACGCGATGTGTTCCTCTGATTTTACGTCGGGACCGTTTGTACGGTATGGATGATCTCTATGGGCTTTTAAGACCGCATCGTTCCTTTGTGTTTTTTCAAAAAACATACTTCTCTCCCAGGCACACACTCCCTTGTACGATTTTCTTGTGGCACCATTTATACGCGTGCGATGTCTCCCCTTTTGTATTATCCTATTCTCTATTCCGAGGCTGCATCTACGGATTTTAACTGTCTTCTTTCCCACTGGCAATTCTCCACGTGCGACTAAGGACAGTCGACACTAGTGACGCACTGTGGCGAAAGTGCGAAGTAACCGTGTTTAGTATACTAAAACTCGAAAGGATCTGTCGCAGGTCGAACCGGAAGTAGTAATACCATACTAGTAGAAGTTTAATGGCTGAGTATAGCATCAAACAAGACTACAGCTCGTATCCGTGACGTTGGCGACGCCGAAGTTCAGCCATCCGGTTGATATCGGAGTAATCCGGCTTGGCGAGGATTATTCGAAGGGACCGTCTATACTTCTTGGCCAAGTCGGAGGAAGAAGCTGGATTTGGCGCAGGTGGGACGGGGTTGTTCTAAATTCACCCCCCACGACCCCTTCGACGTCTAAAAGATCCCCGGACTCATCCGCAGGAGGACCCCCCCCCCTACGTACTCTTTTTATTCCCTCCTTCTCTCGGCTCATCCCCGTCGTTCGAGATAATCGGGCAGACCCTTCGATTTTTCCGGATTCTTTAGGATCAACCGGCAAGCTCGTGATATGGTACCGCCACCCTTGCTCCCGGTGGCAATGTGCTCAGAGCGGTGGGGGATCCTCTCGACATGTTCGCCAAGGGAATGGAGCCAGAGCCTGGGGGTGCGAAAAGGGGTGGTCTCGAGAACGCCCGCAGCATGACACCGCATTGCGCCCACTTGCCAACCCGCCCAACACCTAAATTCGAATTAGGGTGCCACGGCACTCTCGTCAACCCTCGCTGGCACCAACGAACTCACCCACCCCTGCCATTCGACTGGTAACTCATCCCCCAACCCTCTCTCTCTCTCTCTCTCTCTCTCTCTCTCTCTCTCTCTCTCTCTCTCCCCCTCTCTCTCTAGACTGATTCTCCCTATACCCTCCATCCCATCGAACCCTCTTTGCCCTCTTACATCCCAGAGCGCCGAGGGTGGCTCAGTCGTTTCCTCCCTTAGGAATCGATATCAACGTCATCAGCCACCCTCTCTCGCGCTCCTCTTCCGGAACCCCATCAGACGCGTAGACTGTCTCACTCGATATTCTCCTGTCTCTCTCCTCCCACCCTTCGTCCGTTCTCCTTCTCTCTTCTTCTACCATCCCCCTGATTTGGGGGGTCGGTGGTTTATTTCTGAAAAGCTCCGTCCGCAGCCGCGTGATACCGACAGCAAGGATTCATT